TATACAAATAATTTAAAATTCCATTACGTGTGCGTTAAGTTATATACAAAAAAATAAATAATTTATGCTTCAATTTCACTATATAACACTATTATTTAGTGTTATTCGATAGTTTTTGAAAAATCAGTGTCATACCAAGTAAACTATTACATGAAGCTTTATATTCTCCACTTAACTTCACATAACAGATGCACCTATCAGAGCATTAAAACCTACTATGTCATAAAAATAAGCACAAATTATATATGCTATCGACAATATCATTTTTAAAATTAGTGCTGAATTTACCTCAAATATTTTCAGTACCTTTAATTTAGCGAGTTCACTGCTTCATACACTAAAATTTAGTGTTTATGAATTTATGTCCACAAACTCCACGGTCTTTAATTTAAATAGTATAAATGATTAGTAAATTATTTGTAAGTAAGTATTGGAAAGCAATTTTTGATTGATTATTTATATGTTCAGACAATATATCCACGAATATTAATATCACAGCTAAGTTTTTCGAAATTTAGCTTTTCCATCATTTCCAAGTTTTTGATCATATTAAATATTTGCATAGTATTGAATTTTTAAGTATTTATAAGAACATATGAACTTTTTTTATAGTCATCACCCATTTAAAATTATTGAAAAAAATTACATTATTTATTTATAGAGTTTCGATTTTTATACGTGCCAGTATTTTAATTTCATAACAATATTAAAAGTCTATTTCAAGGCTAAGAAGTTTATCAATAATTATAATTTTGTATTAGGTAAGTTTAAATATAATATATTTTCATATATAATTACAAAATATTATGTTTTTAGTGTTTCCTATACAATACACTATAATATTACATGGAAAATAAAATACTGAAACTCCAACATCATAATATTATAATGAAGAAAACACATCTATAACTTAAGAAATGGCGGTATTTAATGGTGGTAATTGAGCATAAAATAAGTGAGTTTTAACGGAAATTAATGTTCGAATTTTTCCTACAACTCCACCGCATCTGACCATTATCGTTTAATGTTCTAATTTAAGTTTTAAATATTTATTAAGTATAAATACGAGTACTGCTAATTACTCGTCCAAAATTGATTTTTTAAGTTTACGAATATAACGAATTTACAGAAATATATTCTGTCAGGAATACGAAATTAAAAGTGTATGCGTATTTATTTGAAGAAGTAAAAATCTTAAAAATAGTGAAAATCTTAACAGTTTTCGAGATAATAAGCGCGTCTTGTTAAAAGAAGTATCCTGCTGTAAATATAAACGAAATTCATTTATCTTTCGATTAAACTTCGGCTTGAAGTAATAATACACGTACACACAATGTAATATATTATGCGTGTGTCTAAATTGAACAGAACGCGTTGGTAGTATCATTATTGCCTATAAAGGTATTGCGTCTATGCTATAATATCTGCTCGTAAACGATAGAGGCGTGTCTCGTCGGCCGACGTTAATTACAATACGATTGTTTTTCGGCGCATAATATTTAAAACATTTCATTATTTGTAATCAATCTGTTGGTTTTTAGTATCGCGTTTACGAGCTTAATAACGAGAACGTCGATATTTCTGTGGGGTTATCCGGTAACGGTACAACACGGCATACTATGCCACAGGACACAGATACATAGTATAGCGCATAATATCCTAATGTATATTATATATTTTAAATAATATAAAATATTGACATGATTAGTTTTGAATGTATGTTATGAATATTACTATAAGTTTTTGTTTTTTTATGATTTATTTTGTTACGCTTCAACGTCGATGATTGTTATAGACTATATATTATTTTTACTTAGAGATGAACACAAGCTAATATTTTAAATCTAAAAAAAAATGTTTGCGTTTTTTTACAATTAATTATTTTGTCTGTAAGAAAAGTTTGTTATATTATCGCGAGTACTATAATAGTCATTGTAGATCGATGAGGTAGATAGTCGAAGACTGTATACACGCGCTTTAGCGTATTTCGGGCTGTTGATCAACATAATATTGTGTTTGATTGTTAAGTTTTCTTTGCATGCGCTACACATTGCCCGTATTGGGTAACGGTTTTTTTTGCTCATAAAATCGTAATCAGACGAGTGTGACGACACATCGGCATTCGTGGTTACTATAAATATATATATATATATATAAATATAGTTGCTAATATTAGATAACAACGACGGGGAGCTGGCCACTGAGATTGGGCGCCATGTCATACGAATAATGTGTTGACGTTCCTGTACAGTCGTAGTGTTCTTACGATAACAACAAATAATCAAATAAATAATTGGTTGATTTTTTTTTTTTTGGCAAATATTAGTTCCTAGATTGTGTTTACCGAATTATCAAAAAAGAACGCATGTCAAGCATACTTTCGTCAAATCTCCAATAGCGTATATTATATATATATATATATATATGAGTAGGACGCGAGTCCGCGTGCGTTGCTAGCCATTTTATGATGATGCGAGTCCAATATATTATATTATACGGCGAAAACTGACAGCCCGTGAGAAAGAGGGCGTACAGGCGCGGAGTCAAACGTATATTATAATACGCGTACTGCAAAATGTATACTATCGTATTATCCTGTTGCGAACGTTATAAGATACCTACGTTAAGCTTGCAGGCGCAGAGGAGGAGGGCGCGAAATGCCCATTGAATTAAATGCGCGTACATGCCTAATATTATACTTACTGCCGTGTGTGCATTATACACAATGAAATTAACGTCACCGATGCACTCAATCAACCGAAAATCATTTACCGACGTAGGTACATCATAACACACACACACACACACGCGCGCGCGCGTACACTGTAACGCATATGCTCGTGTGAGCAAGTGCCCGCGTAAATCCGATACATATATAGAGGTGCACACCTTTCACTAATGGCATGCAATTTTTATTTTCCCCGTAATACGACAATGATTACTTTTTAAATAGTGTATACTACGTCGTCTCTCCGCCCCCGACGGCCACTGCGACCGTGTTTGTGTTTTCCGTCCGCGGTCAGAAGGCTGCTGAAAGCCAACTCACGGTAAGCGAGTATACAACATAATATTATATTAACGCCGTTTTTGCGTCGACGAGCTATATAGTCGAGAATGATCTGTATCCGTGGATGATACGAACCGTATCTGTAGGCGATTTTATTCAAACCGTTGTAATAATCAATCTGCAAATAACATAAATAAAATAATAACTGCGTAAAATACGTAGAATATCAACTACAAATAATGGACACATAAAAAAAAAAAAAAAAAAACATAATTATTATAAAATCGATACAAGCAATATTTGTTTGCAAAAATGTATATAGTCTTTGCAATGATTTTTCGTGGAATTAAAGTATACCACATCCATTACTACAGTGGCATAATATATGCTCAATGACGAATAAATACATTCAATAATTAATGAACAACAATATAGCAGGGTAGCTTTTTTTTTTTTTTTTAATTTCGGTGTGTGTTAGTTTAATATATCACAACATAAGTTTCACTTAAGTCCTTTTGAAAGCTTCCTAAGAATTTTTGGCGCAGAGAGATTTTGGATTAGGGGATTAAAGTGCAGAAAGGCTACTACACACACGCTATTTTCCCGTGAAATATTTTGTGACGTGTATTTGCTTCTTCATGCAAGGATTTAAGTTTAAAATCAGAATAGAGAGTATTATTAGATATGGAAAGAGAAAATATTTTAATCAAATTCTATTTAATATTTAATTAATTAATTAATAATAGAGTCAACATCATTCATAGGTATTTTCATCGAAAAATAAATTCTTCGTCCGTATAATATAAAATAGTAATAATGCTTTTTACGTCTTACAAGTTTATAGTACCTATGTAGGTAAACATATTAAAATATAAAAAAGTTGATTTAATTTTAATTAATAATTAGAAACAGTATAATCTTTACTGTCTATATGTATAGTTTATAGTATACAAGTTAAAAAGTGGTGATGAGTATAGTCAGTACAGAAGTTTATTTTAACTTTGAGCCGCGGATCAGGGGTTATTTTATGATATCATAGAAAATTAAAAAATGAATAACAACCGTCTTGAAAAATTCAACGATTGTTGTTAAATTATTACTGTTGGCTCCTTTATGATGCCGTCGACATTATAAAAATATTAACGCGCGCGTTACTTTAAATTATACGTATTGGAAAGCCTGCTGCATCGTGTTGGCAGTATGCTATGTTATTGATAATTAGTGAGGAAAAGTTTTTTTTCTCTTATTGCAGCCTAGTGACGTATGACGAGAGCGATTCCTTCTCGCAGTACGAATCTCCGCCGATTATAATTTGGCACGTTGAGGCCCCGGGTGAGATGAATTTTTTTATTAAAAAAGTAGCTGTCCGTTTGAATTTCCTTTTCCTCGGACGTTTGAAATCCACACCGGTGTCAGTGTCAAATAAATCCGAAGAGTATAATATGTGTATGCGTGCGTAGGTATTCAAGGTGTACGTCATACGAAGCAACTAGCCAATCATAATAATATAATAATAATGTCACGTCGACTGAATTTTTTCCTCCTCGAATTGTTGCATATAGATTCGTAGATAGTAGTGGTGTTGGGGATACCGTAAAGGTGGTTAAACTCAATATGTTCACACACTCGGACGGATTAAGAACGGAACGGTTGTAAAACAGAAATTGATCGTGCGCTTATACCATGACATTATGTCTACATATCGTGGTAATGGGACGTTGTATACGCGAGATTTATACAACACATTTTAATTATTTAACGTTCGCGATGGGCTAATGTCTTACAAAAATCATATATGTTTAAATAAGTAGGTATATAATAAGTGGGCAAATGATAAAAAAAAAAAAAAAAAAATACAATAACAATCCATATGTGTTTTTCGTTGGATAATGGGGTCATCATAATTATTGTTATGTGTTTTGAAATTTTCACAGAAATAATGAATAATGACGTGTTCTTTACCGGTGCAGTACTGTAGTGTACTAATGTCATTAATTATATCTATTGCTGTTGCGTGCGTGCCGAAATTTTAAGTCACTTAAAATGAAATTTCATATCGGCGGAAATGTAAAATTGTTAGTGTTCTTTGTGAATTCTATTAAAGGTAAACGTATATTTTGGAAAAATAATTGCTTAACATAATAATAAATGCTATACCTTATTTTAATATATTATACAGTACATACTATATTATACTAATATAATTAGAATTAGTTTATTTATTTAGAGATATTAATAGATATTTTATATATATTTTAATGTAATTACTAATTGTGTTTTCTAAATAAAAAGCATCACAATTTTATACAAGGTTCTCCTGAAAAATTAAATATTACAATAAAAAAATAACTATATTAATATTTTTCTTGTGATTCATATATTATATGGATATACGATTTTTCACCATTACGTTGATATATTACAATTTTGTAAACACAATAAAATTAATAAACAATTTTAATATCCTGCTCAAAATGTTTAAAGCACGTTAGTATTAAATTATAAGTTAACAGTATAATAACGGTTTATAATAATATGATATATTATAATAAGTATAATATACGTATCGTATTTTATAGTTTTTAGTGAAATTCTATTCAAAACATATAAATATTAGAAATTTGAATCAAAAACTGATGTTGCATAAATAAATATTCGATATTTCCTTTTTCCTGCTATTTAAAATTAATTAGAAAAGTAGGTACTAGGTTTATTATATTTTTTACTTTAGTTTTTAGTTTTTTATGCGGTCGTGTATTAAACGTTTAATATACCTATAATTACAACTGTGCTAGTATTTCTAATCAATGTTTTAATTTATGAGGAATTTCGCTATCTGGTTATATAAATAATAAAAAAGCTACAGGTATGATGTTCGTTAATATTTTTATTGTTTCTAGATGATTTTTAGATTGTATCACAACCAGTTATTTGTTAATAAAGCTTTAATATTTATGATCTACAACGTATGAGTTATATTAAAAGAAGCGTATGGTTAATTAAAATATTATGTAACAAAAAAAAAAGTTATGTAAAACTCAATATATTTGCATTGTGCCCTTCTTTCAAAGATTCAATGTTATAGTTCTAAATTTATTATCTTATCGTAATCATCATTTTAATTTTTAAATTAATTGTTGAAACTTGAAATATGATTCATTATTTTTATCTCTTTTTATTTCATATATTAATTATAATAGACCACTATTTTCTTTAAAAAAAAAAGTTTTTTTTTTTTTTTAATAAGACAAAGAAGTTTCTATAACATCTTAGTCATTTATATTTATATCAATAAATTAACTACAAATGTATATCATTAAAACTAAAATTAATTTTTTTTTTTTATCTCAATAAAAACCTATCTTTGTGAATGTATATATTTTTTTTATTACCATCATTATTAAAGTAATAAAATAAATATAAAACATTTATTTTTATTTTAAGTCCAAATATTAATAATTAATGTTCAATTCAGTACAGTCTAGTTAACTACATTTTTAGAAATATAGTAAATCATAAATATAATAAACTTATAAATACATTATTATTGATTGATGGTAACAATTAAAAGTTGGTATTTACTGAGACATCATATAATGAAATTAATATATTTTGTATACATATATATATAAACTTATAAACCATTTATATATTTTTCTTTGGTACGTACTGTGATACTAATTACTTTTATTGTTTGTCGCGCTGAAAGAATAGAGTAATAACTAATAAGTGTGCAATTATTTATTAAAAAGCCGATACTTCTGATGTAATTTAACTGTACGCAATGTTTGTCATAAATTTAAAATGTTTACCCATTTTTGCGATTTCCATTCAAATTAACATATTGAATTCCACATTTTAAATAATAGTAATTACTAGAGTTTGGATGTTCATGACTTAGAATATTTTTTTGCGCAGTCAGAATTACTTATATTTAATTTATAAAGTGAATATTACAAATAATCAAACTTTTTTTCCATATTTGATATTTTTAAGCATATAAATATATATATTGATCATTTCTAAATTTAGTGGCATATTTATGGTATCAGAATTAAGTTTGCCCCTAGAACCAGTGATTATGCGTTGGGAGACGTGGTTAACACGGCTATTCATTACTGCGACTCACGTAAAACGATTAAAAAAATTAAAGTAAAATTTGATCTTGATGATGCTTTGTCTTTAAAAACAGCTCAAGAAGTTATGGGTAAACGTTGAGTTAAAGCCAATTTAGTTTTTATTAAATAGATTTTTCATTCTTATCTTCAGCTCTAATATCTCTCGAGAAAAGGAGAAATCTCTATCCATTTCGGTTGCTATTTTAAACGTTGTTACAGAAAAATTATCAATTGCAGCTTCATGTATTCAAGGTGAATCAATATAAGTACAAAAAATTTCTAAAATAATATATAGCAAAACAGATTCATTTGATGAACTTCCTGAATCCTAAAGCTATAGAAACTATTGACATCGTTAACTTTAAGTGCACCGGCCAACTCTAAAGACGTGGAGTGGTCATTTTCAGTTTACAAAAACAATAATATAATTACGAATTACTATAAAAACTATTAAAATTGATAATTACAAATACAATACAAGAATACATTCATATACGTAAAAATGTATACTCGTTAAAAAAAAGTATAAAAGTTTATTATTAATTTATTATTATCACTGTTATGTAATATCAATATAAGAGATAATTTTACTAGTTAAATAACCTAAATTTTATAAGATCTACAAACTTACAACCCGTTTTACTATGTAAATATGTGTAAATTAATTTATCACATTGATGATCACTAAGAAGTGCAAATCATGTAGGTACCTATACAGAATCAAAAATCCCTACCCTCAATCAACTGGCTAAGACACAATACTCTTTAATACATAGTAATTCATAACAGTCCATTAATAAAACGCTTATGCTCATATTTGTCGCTATCTAAAATAGTTTGTAGAAGATTCAAAATATATTTGCCCATAGTTCTAAATGTTTTAATCAAATAACCAAATTGTAAGTATAAATGATAATCCTCTAGTCTTGTGTGCGTTCTTCAGTCGATTTCATTTTTGCGGCTGTATATGTATTTTTTCTACACTAGCTGATAATTGCGTAAATGAATTGCACATTATATTCGTATAATATTAAATATTTGATTACTAAAATAACGTAAATCAGTTTGACATAACACGATAGGCATTAATAATGAATAGATAAAATACTTGAAAACATCTGCGTAGGTTATTATATATTTGTAGGTGTATAATAATTTTATAACCTATAATACATTTAACAAGAGATTGAATAAATGTGCGGTCTTTGATTAATATGACTATACCTACATGATGAAATGATTTAATTCATATTGTACCTACATTATAAAATATATACTATTGATCGGATAAAGAATTCTTTTATGATTCATACTATATTAAACTTTAAGATTCCGAACTCGTATTTTATTACCATATTATAAATGATGATACTACAGACATGTTGTCTACTTAATACGTCAAAATTCAAATACGATTAATTGCGAGAATACCTTCATGTTAAAAAACAAAGTGCATTGAATTGTTCGCCATTATATTTTTAAATGTTTGTCAGTATGCATGTAAAATATGCAAAGAGCACTCTGAATTAATGGGTGAGAAGAACTAAATTGCTTCTCCGCTGACTTTTTTAAAATATGGTTTTGTTATTAAAACTTTACTTTGTAATAAACATAAATACAAAAAATACTACATCATTTTCATTGTGTCCCATATTATATGCATTACATAGTAATTAATTACTATTAATTATCGCATACAATTAATAGGACTATAAAAACCAGGGAAATCACTCTATATCTGACGTATAGTAGATTTCAAATGTACCTTGTCATTGAGAAACTACTAGAACATTATACTCGTATATGTAAAATTTGAACTCAATGTCAAATAATGACATATGAAAAACGATTCTGAGAGATGATGTGTAGTTAGTGGTAAATACCTACGATATATATAATTTTTGCCAGAAATATAAATTATTATATTATAATAAATAATTTAATCAACAGTGGAATGCTTCAAATATAAATGATTTATAAAAAAATGTATTGAACAACGCCGACATTTTTATTGACATTTAAAAAAAAAAAAATTGAAAATTTCAACTATATACATAGCTTAAAAAGATACAAAACATTTTGAAAATTATAGCAAATTTGGTTAGTACACTAACTTGTAATATACACACAAATACTAACTTCGTTTTTTTTTTTTTGAAAATTCAAGTATATTTTTCTGCAAGAGTCTTCAGATATAAAAAAAAAAAAAACACTCCAACCAATAAAATTAATAAATTCATTGCTCCGTTCAAAATCTAAAATAAGAATATGAAACATAATTTTTCATAGCACAATTATGTATAATAAATGCTCTGAATAATATACAATTAATAATTACACCACCTATATATTGTTTAATTATTTTACTTTGTTATTTGATGATCAAACTATCATACTATCATCTAAAAACATTTCTTATAGGTTTTATCAAATATTTAATGGTTAATTGTTAGTTTGTTTTATAAAGATAATAAAATATTTCGTATCATAAGATTCACTGATAGAGTAACTAAAAAACCAAAACTGTAACACTATTAAATTGAATAGTTTTTCGATAACCGTCGTGTCGTTATATTATCGTTTTACTTTAGCAGCGTATATTATTTTACTAAACATTATATTACTAAATATTAAAATGAACTAATAAATTAAATGAAATACATCCAATAAAAAAAATGTTTCATTTACTAAATTTTTAAATTTTGAGCAGAGTGAAAAATGTATTGATTTTACAAAGATATGTGTGTATTTTTTTTTTTAATAGAAAATATGCTCTAATCACCAACTTAAATGAAAACTTTTGATAAAAAAATTAATCTAGTTAGTACTTTTAAAGGGTTAAAATTAAAAATTCTTAGTGCTTTTAAGAATAATTGAAGAAGTACAAACATTTATTAAAATTTTAATATTATTTTAATTGTTATTGAAATAATTATCCGGTAACTTTAGCTAACGACAAAAATATAGAATGTTGAAATGTGAGTTTTTTATATATGTATACTATATAAGTAAAAAAAATAAAAATATTTTAATTTTTAACTTTAAGAGTGAATTCTTTCGAAGAAAAATGGATTTTATTCGTTCTTTAGAGAAATTAACAATAACATTTTTTAGTATTTTATGTTTTTTTTTTTTAAGTGAAACAAAATAAAATAACTGTGTCGATTAAAAAGTATTTCTTACACATGGTATAATTTTTAAAATATTTTAACTCTTTTTTTTTTAACTGCCTATTTATGGATTTTTATTTTTTTTTATTTTTGAGCAATCTAAGTTAAACTAGTTCAACTAATATTTTTCGATTGAGGACTTAATTATAAATTCGGTTACATACTATATGATTGTATTCTTAACTTAAATTGATATCTAATACATATTATAACTCACGAATAAAACCGAACTCACTCAATTTAAAATAAAAGCACTTCGTTGACATATTAGTGTTCTACATAGTGACCACAACGAGCAATCACCGCTAAAGAACCACTTTGCTTCTTCTCTTCTAGTTCTTATAGATAATTTGTACACTTGTACTTAGCTTAAATAATATTTAATAAAGGACTCGATTTTATATGTTGTTACATATTTCGTAATAGTTTTCTTAACTTTGTTTCATACATATCTAATGCATAATATGACACATGTAACTTACTAATAAGCGATTGAAATCTATATAAATTTAAACCTTTACAAAATTATATTAATAAAATGATTTATGGACATACATAAAAATTTACTTCAGATGATCATTAGACAATAATAATAAAATACATCCTTTATCATTATTAAACAAATATTTTTAAAGTATATCTGCGAATCTGTGAAAACGTATAAACTATAAATATATTAATATTGCATAGATAGGTATGCATCTATAATTTAATATTACATTATACAATAAACTAACTAGTTACACAATAAAACAAATGTACATCACATCTATCAAAACGTATAGGTTTTAAATACTAACTTTGGAAAAAGGATCGTTCATGGACGGTTTACTGTACTGCAGTTTCCTACTTTAATTATTTAGAATATTATTAGTTGCAATATTAGACATATAATAGCTTAGCTTACTAACATACGTATTCATTTATAGTTGTCACATTGTTGTAATATTCTCAAAAATAATCTATGAAGGGATAACTGTTATAATATGATCTCTCGTCTCATCACACGCGATCAGCGGTGTCTCAATGACTTGATAAAAAGAGTACCTATATCCTATTGCACGGGATAGCCAGAAAATAAATTCAACTAATGAGTAACCGACCATCCGGAACCGAAAACTTCTAAACAATTTCAATTAATTTTTCCCTACAGACTTTGAATATAACTCATAGAATATGAATGTTATATATTTTCACCCGAACGACATGCATAACCTTTCCGTAGTTACTCACTCATAATCTTTATGAGCCATTTGCTGCATACAGACCTCATTAAAAATATTTGTATTCTATATTTTCTAAAAATAACAGACGGAATCTTAAGAGAGATTGTATGTAAAGTTCAAAAACGCCACGTGATATACAGTTGGACTTTGGAAAAACGTCTTGTAATCAAAACAATAAATAAATAAAAAATAAAAATATGACTCAAATTGGTTTAATGTAGGATGGCAATGACGACGGTAATAATTATAATAAAATTAATCTATGATTACAACGCCTCCGCGGTCTGTGCATGATGGTATAATATTCCGATGATAATAAAACAATATTAATTATTGTTGTTGTTTCTAAAATCCGTTACAATCAAGTAACTGAATTTGTATCATTTAACAACGAAATATTACACGAATATTTCTTAGAATTACGTCATCTTTGAGAACCATGCAAATATGCAATATATAGGTATACAATACCTAACTATTCATATAATTGAATGAACTGCTACTAAACTATTTTGGAAAACCAAAATGTCGTATTTATGCTTTGGATCTAAAACATAAACATAGTTTAAAATAGTAGTTTTGATGTTATATCTGCAAGGCAAGAATTTTCATAAAAAAAGAATTTTCACAGTAAATCAAAATTTAAAGAAAAAAAGAATATGTGAGTTTCTATATAGTATATATAACGTTATTTGAGTTACGTAAAATTAATTAAATTGGACTATTTCACATTGATTTTAAAAATAGAATATCTATATGTTCACTAGCATAATATTCATAACGATTAATGACATAACATTTTTTCAATCTAGATACATAAAATAATATCATTTTTAATAAATACTACAACATACCTATTATGTTAAAAACTTTTATTGCATTAATTTTGATATTTACGATTTTTTTATATGAATTTAAATAAAATATATTATTATATTATATTATTGCTCATTATTTACCTAATTGGATTTATCACAGAATATTTTATGATATACCTACGGTGTTTTCATGTCTTTGCCAAATCCGTTAAATATTTTTTCTTACCGTAATAATTGATTCGTGACAAAATATTTTGTCAGAAAAGTTTTAAATATTAACGGGAATTATTATACATAACATATTAAATAATAAATGTATCACTAAAATTAAACATCAGGTCTGTCGTACATAACAGACTGCCAATTGTATTTAAGCTTATTATTCTAAATACATATAAGTTTGGAAGCAAGTACCTACATTATCTTATATTATATTATATTTATAATTAGTATATTTAAACATGTAAGGAATACTGCAGACCCTACGAATTTATAACATTTCAAATTGTTTCATGACGTTTTCCCAATATTTCAATTTTTGGACATATCTTTTTGAGGTTTAATCGTTTAGGAAGGCATTTCATGTCACCAAAATTTAAATCAAATAATCTAAACCTAATTGTTTGTTTGTACCCATGTCTTAAAACTCCTTTTATGGCTTTGAAACAAAACCGTTAGTATCTACCCATATCGCTGAATAATACCAAATACATGAGAATTCATAACAAATAAAAAGTTCTATACCTATGACAACTAGTTAAAAAAAAATAACGTGAATAAATGTGAATAGTTTTATTAAGAAAATAATTTTGTATTTAAAAATAATTTTATTTATTTTTTTTTTTTTTTGGTCTATGTGATCCAGTATAAAATAAGATTTGCAATTACAAAAACTTAAGTTACGGCAATTTCCCTTGATTTCAAATGCTTGTCATTTATCGTATTGTAACAATACATGACGTGTATGAACATAATAATGTACGATGTACATATAACTATTTATATAATCGAAGTACGGCATCTAGACGTTTACGAATAAATATTTGTTTTTCAGTTTTTATTTACTCAACGAACTCCATTGTGTCCGTTTTATCAGGATATTTCGTCGTCCTCTTTACAATGACAATTACATGTAGATCGGTTTCTGAATCTGTATTATACGAGTTGTTTCACCTGAATCGTTATCAATATTAATACTTAATAATAGATACCAACAGCGGATCCGTACGATAAACAGTTTGCTTTGAATTTCGATAAATGCGGAAAAAAATGTTGTATTTACTACAAAAATTAATTTTAACATAATTTACTATAGTTATAAATAATATACTCTTATGCCAGTCCAATATTTCACTTGTAAATTTATTCTATTAAGTTTTGTATTTAGCGTCGTGTCAGAAACTCAGAATAGAATATAAATTGGTGTGTGATCGCGATTACGAATTACAATGATAATAATATTATATCGGTAATCAATAAAATATAATATTCTCGTGTATAATTAAAATAAAATCTCACACCACTGCTTCGAATGCGTCCCAATAATATGATACGTGTAGTTGGTTCACAATAGGAGGTGGACTGTGGACAAACTCACAAACTCGCGCACACGTCCGAACATGTATACAGAGCGATTTTTTAACCTCAAAAGTAATTATCGATTTTATAAAAAACTCATTTGGAAATATTTTGTTTTCGCACAATTTCAAAAACAACGTTTTTGAAAAATAAATCATATTCTATCGCAATAAATATTAAAGAAAAACATCGATACGTTCCTAGGAAATGAGCGTTTAACTTTAAAAGATCACCACGTACGTTGTGTATACACGAGTTTGTGTGTGTGCGTGTGTGTATGTGTGTGTGTACGTAACAGTTTTCTTGTGCGTGGTTTATTATTATTATTATTTTCTTCTTCTTTTTTTTTTTTTATAGTTGAACCACAACCTATTAATTATAAACATGAGAGAATTACACAAAGATAAGGAAAATAGTAGCGGTAACAATTATTCCCTTCTGTATGTAACCACGCTCTTAAAACCAAGATTAGGGACAGAGGATAAATAATAGCCACTGAACACCGGACCAGAACGTCAGTCATCACACAGACACTAGACACGCAGTGCAACATTACACGGACTCAACTTTTCCATAATTCTGCAAAAGCTGGACACACGTTGTCGTCTTGATCGTAATTTTCACCTGCCCTCTGTAGCACGTTTTCTCAACAACTTTTTCTGTTTCGACTGCGTGCATCTAATTCGCGGTAGCCCGTCGGTATAGATTATTTTACAAGGAGCTAAAACCGGAAAGAAAATATAATGTCGGAAGACGCCTTCATCGTATCGCCCACCAGAAAACACACAGCCACAGTGAGTAATACATAATCATAATAATAATAATAACAATAATATGCACTTGAATATAATGACTTTCATCGATCGACAAGAGACAATGGTTTTCAATTTGAATTTTTGATTTCAGATCATATTCTTGCACGGACTTGGGGAAAATGGGTACGTAAACAATAAATAGTATTTTATATTAAATTTATAAAAAAAAATATTGTGTTTTTAAAGGCGCTTAAAGGGTCAAAGCCTTCGTGTAATTTTTTATACATGTATTATTATTGGTATACACGACGAGTTTTCGTCCGTTAAAATTTGTTGGTAACAGATTAAAACAATATTTTTCTACACATATAAGTGTACATAATAACATATTATAATATTATAATACACACTTATTTATCGTGATTTTTTTTTTTAAACTTTTTAAATTTGTTTGTTTAATCGCCGTAAAATTTTCATCGATATTGTCTAAAAAGTAAAGAAGCTTATATACATAATAAGTTACAAACCGGTAAACGTGTATAAAACGCTCACCGGAATTCGTTTGGGGTTAAATAAATCACAGCAATTATAATATATATCAGGGGTAACCAAACTACAGCTCCCGTCATAAACTCATATAGCACGAATCTTATCGTAAGATACAAACGTTAATATAAAAAAAATAAATATTTTCAATATGAATTTATGTATTTGAAGAAGTATAATATTTTATTAAATTTCAATTTATAGAAACATTTACAAAAAAACGTAATGTTTTTGATGTAATATTTAAATAATATATGTATTTTTTTATTTTTTATTATTAATTAATATTTTATATTGTTTCACATATTACACATTTTATTATAATTAATATATTATCTTATTTACGATAATCATATTTATATATTAAAATGACCATTTTTTTTATTTTGACTCTTCCATATGAATTAATATATTAGGTAACTCGTGAGTCTCTTCTCGTTGGCTACCCCTGATGTATATTATATTATACTTATTCACTCACAAACTTGAACTCCATACAAATTTATTATTTTTATATTGTGATTGTGAGAAAAGAGATTAATGCTAGGGTGAAAATTATTCAAAAAATATAATTTTATTTTTTATTTGTTTAAGTTGAGTCCAAGAGTTCTTTTAATACTGTTGCATTTTTATACATTTATACAATAATGATTTATTTAAATACCGAGATAAAAAATTACAAATTTATTTATTTATAGATTTAAAAATAAATTTATATTAAATTTATAGTATTCAAAATTATTAAGTTCAATCATGTATTAAAAATGTAACTGTGAAAAAAAAAATGTTAGGCTTAGTCTCACTGTGCATTATTATGTTATAGAAACATTTAAAGAAAGTTTCAAATGAATATATGCAAAATTGTATTTGTTGTTGATTTTATGTTAAATTAATATTAACAGGAACGCTAATGTCCACATTATATAAAACGTCACTCTTATGTTTTAGTAATTTATTATATTATATTATATTAGCTATATAACCTATAGGTATTGCAATAATATGCGAGATTAGCAATCATTAAATAATGATATAGTGTTTTTTTTTTTTTTATTAAAATTTTTCAAAATCTGCATATTACCAATTTAATATAATAATTCTAAAACAAGTTATGAAAATATTTACAAACGAAATGCTGTAATTCTATTTCCTACTACTTACAATACAATATAACACTAATACAATATTATTATTAACTAATTAACCATTGATGAAAATAAACGCAATGTAAGGTATTCTATTCATAATACCCAAATACTATTTTCTTATTATAATTAAATTTCGTTTACAAACATTAAATAGGTATTTTCATTTAGTTTTATAAATTTATTTCAAGTACTTCAAAAAAAGTATAAATTTAACTGTGAATACTTAAAAATTTACTTACACTGTTATTTATTTATTTTTATCAAATATATGAATTGCAAGTTCTATTACAGTATAGTATATTTGCATTTGCTCAGAATCTAGCAATTAAAAAAAAAAAAATGTCTAAAATCGTTAATCTCTGCTATATTTGTTGAGTACTTATACTAATATGATTTATTTACCTATAAACCAGGTCTCAAATTCAATAATTTAAAATAATAAATTAAAATGATACATTAAACTAATTATGCTTTACTTGTCTATTATACGTTCATTTATAATTTTTACCTATCTATCTTACTCAAATAAACTATATTGTTATATTATAATGTACATATTAAGTTAACAGAATAATATTAACGGACGTCGCATGTGTAACAATCAGTAAATTACTGAATCGGAAGATAGAAATCAATTATTTAAGTCTGGAACCATTTTTACTGCAGTGGAACTTAAGTTTTATCTATTCACCTGAACAATTATTAAGTTACAATTTACGGTTTAATTTATATAATTTATTATTTATATAAGAGTACTACTAGTGGGTAATAATCATGAAAAACTATTTATAATATGCATTAAAAGCGCTTTGGAAGGTGTTAAAAAATATGAATATATATATATATATATGTATGTATACGACTTTTTTACTGATACATAAATTAAATGTAAATAATTGTGCATAGGTACAGTAAATAATTGATCATTAGTTAGTATGTTTGAAAATAATACAATTTTCTTATTAAAGTAGAAACGCATTAGGCACATGTAATTTTTCTATGCATTGGTTGGATAAAAACTAAGTTTAAAAGTTCACCAGGTTTAAACATTCTTACTTCTTACGCAACAGCACGTTTATTCGTCATACGCTTAACTTAATTATATTATACCTTATAACTGACTGAATTCTTAAAAATTTTCTACTATTTTAAAGTACAGTTAAAAACCGCAAAGTAAGTTACATGTTTGTTTTGTACATCAATATAATTCAGTTATTAAATATCGCATTATATTCCCATAATAAATTGAACAATTTAAGTTTTTAGTGATATTTCCTAAAAGTTATTTAGTTTTTTTTTTTTTCATAGTTTTCATAATGTTTTAATGAAATTAAATTTATTTAATGTTTTTCATAAACCATGCTTTGATTAAAAATATTACTTGGAAAAAAGTGATCAGAGTTTAAAATGTATTTATTATACTTATAATAAGTAAAAATAATATATTTTTAGGTTATTTATGTTATAGTTCTAATATAAGTGCAATAAAGTTTATACATTGATAATTATATATTCCCGTTTCATGATCGGTACATATCACTCATAAAACACCCAAATTGAAATTAAAAAAATAGAAACTGATATAAACGTCGATTTCCAGAGCGGAAAAGAATGTACCGAAACATCCGCACTTATTTATAATACGATAAAATCACTTACTATTTAAAACACTTTAATATTATTATAATATACGCAGGTACCTACAATAAATTTTTAATCTATAAAATGCTGTGAATTCAATTAAAAACTGTCGGCGCACTGTGTACCTACTTGTCCGCCCGTTATCGGATTCAAATATCAATAATAATTCAAGTTTTAATATGATCTCCGATTTTAACAGATGCGCACTCCACTACTGTAACAGCTTTTGCTATAATATCGTTTTAATATATTGCTTACACGGATCTGCGAAGACGTATGAGATAGACGGAGACGAAAGACCATTTCGTACTTTTTATGTTTAATGTGATCGGATGCAAACGTCTATTAACTTTAATAAAATATTATTATTATCACTATTAATTCAAATTATTATATCATACTATTATTTTTATTAGTACATTATTATTACAGAATAATATTCTGTGTTATTATTATTCTTCACCTGGCCGAATTTGTGTAGGTGGTTATCTCATATTGAATCATATGTAACAATAATGAAATTGAAAATATATAATTTTAAATAATATTGCTAACATCTTAGCAGTTAGCAATATATATATATATATAACAATAATGTATATAATAGTGTATAATGTATATATAATATATATTATTAATGCATAATATAATTTCAGTATAATATGTTATGTGTAATTATTATGTCTTATTTACAGGGAAAACTGGAAGCAAGTGCTCTCCAAAATGGTCAAGCCCTACGTTAAAGTGATCTGCCTTAATGCGTGAGTATATTGTCCCCAACCCCGTTTCGATAGAAAAATATAAGGATAAAATAAAAATAAAAATATGCTCTTAATCGGTTTTAAAGTAAAATTTACTCGGATCAAGTTCCTAAACTTAACATATAATCATTAGTTAAAATAATAAATTAAATTATATAATTATTAAAAATTTAAAAATTAGTAATCAAAATAGTTTTTAGATAACCACATGGGTATTGCAAAATTATGTTTAGTATACATATTTTATTCTAAGCGTCTTTAACATATTCAAATTTGAAACACGAGTTATGAATTTTATGATTTTTCAATGAGTTTAACTCATGTTATGTAATTAATTCTATTAACAAAAACATATGAAGATGATCTATAGAATGAAATACAATCACCTTTATGTAAATGCGACTGACATATTTTGTACAAAATGTTCAAAAAATGTGCCAAAATAAATGAAGACTCGTTTATTTACTATCGATTGCAACATTGCTTAGTTACTATGCCAAAGAGAGTAAATTTTTCTTTATTTCCAACACACGCCCGTAACGAATATCAACACAAATTTCCGCTAAAATTCAAAAATAGAATTTTTTTCTTGTCACATATATTTTGCAAATGGGTTGACGTTAATTTTAACTCTACGGGTCATTCCGAATATGCTCTTTTTTCAGATTAGGAGACGAAAGCTCACCCGCTTTACTATATGAATGTACTTATAACTCTCTATGATCCACAGGAAAAAAATCCCGCTCACGCTTAACAAGGGATTCCCGACGGCTGCGTGGTTTGACTTAGCGTCGCTAGATGAGAACAAGATGGAAGACGAGATAAGCATCATGAGGGCCGTTGAAAAGTTACACGACATCATCGATGAGGAGATTGCTTCGTCCAAAGTGTCGGCCACCAAGACCATGTTGGCCGGTTTCTCGCAAGGTGGTGCCCTGGCTATGTATGCCGCACTCACCTACCACAAACGGTTAGCCGCCGTCTTGGCCATGTCCAGCTGGCCGATGCTCCGACATACCATGCCCGAAGTTAGTACGGTCTGAGGCTTTAAAAAGGGAGTGACGACTGAAATCTTCACCCGGCAGGCTACTAGAAAGTAGTTAAAAAAAAAAACTATGGGCTACTACTTATTCAAAACGTTTAAAGTTAAAATAAAAACAAACATCCTCATATAGATAAACTTTACGTCAATATTTTGTTCAGTATCAGATTTAAAGTATAACTTGACCCATTCGTCACTCCGTTTATGTTTTCTCGATCAGAGTTTTTCGTCTTCTTATACACTTATCACATCATTCGCACGAATCATTTATTTTCATTCTGAACGAGAAAAAAAGAATTATAAAACCATTATTGATGATGTATATAACAGATTCAAGTCCACCGACCACCTCCCAAAATTACGAGTATTTATCACCGATGACCCAACTTTACAGTTTTTTTATTGTTTTCAATACAGGCTGCCATCAACAATACCAACACACCGATGTTACAGTGCCATGGGACCGAAGATCCGGTTATTTACCACAAATGGGGAAAACTAATGGCCGATACTCTTTCGGAGATGAACCCCAAGCATGAATTTAAATCGTACGAGGGTTTGATGCACGCCGTCAATGATCAGGTATAAAAATTCAATTAAATCTATTAGCGACTATTATTAACTATATTGTTTTGGAGATAAATAAAACTAATAAGTCTCGTTTCATTGATACGGACTTAACAGTAGAGTAGATACAACTATTCGTCTACTGCAATATGGATACCATCATGTTCACGTGTTGTCACTCAGTATCAAACCGGAGCGTAACATGTAGGGGGGGGGAGAAAGGAATACAGCCTTCGCTAAAAATTCAAAAAAAATAATTAAAAGCACTTGATTACTTTTTATGCGTAAGACGTGACCATATACTAAATTGTAATTTTAAGTAATTTTATTTCTTAACTTACAGTGCCAGCATAACATACTTATGGTGAATCCTAGTTAAGCTTCCACTAAATAATAAGTTTTCAGTTTCCTCTCCATTTATCCAAACAAAATATTTGCTACACTATTGGTACTAGAGTTCATCTAAATTAATTAAATTGATTAATTAATGTATTAATGCGTGATCGTAAATAGGAAGCCTAACCGGTGTTGGCAGTGAATTAGTCAAAAATATTATTTTTAATGTAGGTGCGTCTAAATACGTTGTACGTGCTGGGTGGATCTTACATCCTCATTAATTATATCAGTGACTTTTAGGTACATAACCTATAGTGCTATTCACGAGAGAACGGTACCGTGCTCCGACCAAAATTGGTCGTCGCCGCGCATCCCCTACTTAAAACCATACAATTGATACGCTGCTCGGATCGCGGTCGTCGCTCGTCGTTTTCCATCGGCAACATGCTCTTGTTATACGTACTGAACAATCAGGTCGATAATTGTCGTTAATTATCGGTAACAATGAACTGGGTAGAGGGGATTTTTCAACTAGACGAGACGGAAGGAGCTCATTCTACATGCGCGAAACCTGTACCGTTCTCTCGTGAATAGCACTATAATACTGAAATGTTCACAATTAGTTTTAATAACAAAATAAATGAAGATCCTGAGAGGTTGTTGAGTGGTATATTTTTCCGATACATTCAATGAAATAATCAGATATTTATTTTTCTACTCACTCCCAGGCGCTAGAAATACCATAATATTTATATGTCATACACATTAATTCGAAAAAAAAATCACTACATCACCGCTTGTATGGTGTACTTATTTAACTTATTACTCAGTTGTCTCCACGACACTGATACTTTTGTAAAATGTTTTCATTTTATAGTTCTATTAGGACCCCGAGGTGGTTTTAATTTTTGCATAAAACATTTTCATCATATACGATTGTGAGTGATAACTGTCGAGAGTACGAATTAAGATGCACAAATTTGAACTGAAAATGGAAATGGTCATTTTGCCTTTCCACGTTATTTCGTGTCTATTTAACATTGTAAAAAAACGTGCATCATATAATAACTTATTATGATAGTGATAATTATTAATTAGTAATAAATAATAATATTCATTTACACAGATATTGAATAATCTTAATAGCCATAACTGCGTTTATGTAACACGTTAGTCTTAAAATCATGACCGACAAATAATTGCATTTATATTATTATAATTTTTTTTTTATATTTTTAGGAATTACAAGATGTCAAAAATTTCATCAACAAAATATTTCCTTGATTAAATTCAAGAAAATTGATGTAGAATGAATTTATCATTCAAAAACGTCAGAATATTTGTTAATACATAATTTACTAGTTGTATATTTTTCATTATAATTATGTTTAAGAGTAAAATTTTTATATTCATTTATTATTATTGTTATTTTATTGTCATAAATGCTTTAACTTGGAATTTGTGCAATTATATTTAACATATCTTAGCGACAAAGTATAAATAAAAATGTAAAATAAAACCTGTGTCTATTTTTGTGCTAACACCTACAATTAATCGGAAATTCGTTAATACAAATACAAATTTCAAAACAATTTTTTATAAATTTAAACAATAAATATAATTTTAATATTGGGAATAAAGTTATTGAATAAAAAAAAAAAATCAGTTCTAAACAACGTGTTGTGACTTGTGAGTATTGAGTAATTTATATTATCTCAAAAATAATTCATTAACTAGTCATTTCACGGGTTGACCTATTTGTATTTTATTTTTAAAATCATTTAACTGTTTACTAGATGTTATAAATCATCAATACATTCTAGGAAAAAGAAAACAACGTTCAAACGCATAAAAAAATCAATTTTTTCGTTTTCGAGAGACGCGATTTTTTACACGGTCTGTACACGATAAATCATAAACTATCACCGTTTGTGCATATCATTATTAATATTTAATTTAGTTAGGTAGGCTATTTTATACATGCTATGCACATGGGCGGTGGCCTACGGACTAATTATAAACATGTTTAGATAAATTTTTCAGTGTGTAAATATCTCACGCTCGACGACTTATGCAACAATATAATAATAATTATTATATTATACGGCCATAAGCGTGATGATGGTTATTTGCAATTTTTTCACTTAAACTCATCGCCATGTGCATTATTGGGTCTTGGGTCAATTATATTCTTTTGGTGTCGATTATAACCACCATTACTTAGGAAAAAAAACACAAACTATTTTTAACTATGGTCAGTCGACCACTTACTCACATTATATAATCACTCTGTTTAAAAAAAAAAAACAACAACACACACACACACACAATTCTTCTGCTCAATCAATTTCCAAATTTTTACCGACAGATATTTATCACTTTGATCTGACTAACGGCCAAAAAATTCTCAAGCTGAATTCATTAATCGCATTACGTGAAGAAATAACCCTCAACGTGGTCGATACTCAAAATAGTACAATATGTTTTTTTTTTTTTTTTTGAAAGTAATAATAGATATTTTTGGTACCCCCACACTTACCTACATATTGTTAGTATTGACACGAAACACTGTTCATAATTAAATTAAACATAACTTGTTAGATATGTATTTATCCGAAACAAACAAATGAATGTTTGAAAAATTGTTGTTTAATAAATAAACGAAAAAACATATAAATTGTTATGATTGTTAAAATAACGACAGATCCGCTTCCACCTAAATAATTTAGACAGATAAAGTTATTATAATACGATCTATTTTGAAACCGGTGTTAAACGAGCCCAGTGTTATTGAATTTATCAGTGTATTGTGTATAATAATAATAACTAATAATGATGATTAAAATTATTAGATATCACTGAATATTAACAACCGAATTAACAATAATACGTTATCTATAATATATAGTATTAAAAACCTAATGTTCGTGTACTCTACATTATTATTGCATTGCATTAACGGGTGCGATGGCGATGCGTCACGGTAGATCACTATTAGAATACTAGCGCGTTAATTAATATAATAATAATTACAAATTTATGATACCGCGATTAAAAATGATATTGTAACCGGACGATCATCAATCGAGTAGACAGCTTTAAACCTCTATCAATCGGAAAACTGTTGAGTTAGGTTATCATTAGCAAGCAATCGTGGCGTTTATTATGCACTGAAAATTCGAATCGACATCACAACGAATTTAATGTTGGAGGCGCCTCCGAATATCATCTAACCCGACGACGACCAATCATCTTTTAATGCGCATAAAAATAAGTCATATTTGTAATGTAATCTAATCACGTTTTCGAATGCTGGCCAGTGTTCACAGTTGTATTTTATACAATATTTATCTCCGAGTGAACGGCACGGACACGAAAAATTATGTTGAGACATAACCTAGGGATAATACCTATAATTTTTTTTTTTATATATATTTACGCAGCACTGCCAGAACACGCTATCAAAACCTGCAGTAACTGTGGTCAGGATACGATCAACAAAAGCTATTGGTCGGGTTCACTGTTTACGTCTTCAGCCGTGCTGAAATATTGAGTTCAATGAGTTCGACCCAACTCTAAACATTTTCTGGTAGATCATGATTTATGAACCTAATGCCGTGGTTACAAGTTACAACGGTCAATCGAGTACCTACGATAAAATACGTAGGTACCCACGAGCCGACAAACGTAGCTGTGAAGTGAACCCCGACTTTAAAAACACCGATAAAAATCATTACAAATCAATGTTTATTTTTAAACTGAAGACTAGACTAATTTACATATTATGATTGATTGTTTTTGGCATTCGTTGACTTACGAAATTTCTTACTAACTTAATAATACTAAATTATTATTACTATTATAGTATTTAGAGAAATGTATACAATTATTGAAAAATGTATACATAATATATTATTATTACCAAATTTAGAATCGATGTACGTATAAACATCAGGTATGTCAATTATGTGGTGTTATATTTGGTAATTGTAAATACTTTTAGTTATTAGTTTATTACTATATAATTAATTAAACTATCAACTAACTAAACCTATCTTATCAACTATATTAAATAGGTACTTCAACAAAAGTATTAAAAATGCTTCTTAAATGCTAGTGATGTTTTATTGTTTACTTTTGAGTGAATTGCAGACTAGCAGTTAATTATTTCTTAAATTCAATTTTGAAGTTTAAAATTAAATTATTTATAATGGGAAATGTTTTTTGCTGTTATCAAGTGAAGTAGATGTATTATAACGATGATTAAATGAGATTGGAAGGATGGATATCGATAAAAATCAATATTTTTAAAAACCTAAGCTACCTAATACCTATATATTACATTTACGAGTCGAGAATATAATAATTATTATACCTACCATATAATTTACATACTATTTTGGAATCCACAGAACATCAATAATTGAATCACACGGCAAATCGATTAAATGTAACTCTGTATTAATGCGACTTAAGTATATAATATTATACATTTATCAATTTATGCACACATATTGTAATGATATCAAATGTCATCAGGTTTTTTTCGTCACCACGGACAAGTGAAAATGAATAATAACAAACACCGTTTATTACACGGTATAAATCATTCGAAAACATTATTTTTTCTGTTATCATATTATGTATAATATCGACACAAATGTAGGTAATATAAAAGTAAAAAAAAATAAATACTTATAACAGTTTTTATTCTCGTGAAAGTCGTCGTCTCGCGGTAAGGACAAAGTTTTCTTAGACGATCTCATTTGACACATAAATTCAATGTATATACTATAATATCATACGCATATAATATTATATTATTTTTATAATATATTATAATATAATATTGTATATTATTATTATTATTATTATATTATATATTATGTATAATACATTATTATATTATATTACATTATTAAATATATTATTATATTATTATATTATATAATATAATATAATAATACATTATTTTATAATATATAAGGCAATCGAATAACACGATTTTGATGCTCTGGTCTATTATTTTTATTGCGAATCCGTTGCGTTGTCGTATCAAGATGATATGATACTTTTGAAAAATATATCATATGTGAACTAAGTAATACATTTGGATGACATGAGAATTATCGTGTTAAAGCCCAAATATTTTCTTTGTATTGCTGCCATGACAAAGTATTTTTTTTTTTTTTTTTTTGATATCGGGAGCCCTGTTGTCAATGTAAGTTTTGTTGTCGACATGTTGAAGCATAGTCAATAATCGGATTTTAAAAATATTAATCAAATATTTAAATACCAACTTTCGAATTTACTTACATAATATTCATATTTATTATCGTTTATTTTAACTAAAGCTAAAAAGGAAAGGACAATAACCTAATTATTTGGTTCAGTTTTTAGTAAGCACGACGGATGTAGAAACTACTCCAGCTGAATATTATTTCAGAGTCAATATATAGTTAGAGGTATTTGATTAAATTATTGTAAATTTAAAAAAACAGTTTTCATGTGAAAATTTGTCTCTAGCTGTTGGTATATTAATAGAATAAATCTAAACTATTATGGAATTGCTCAATTTATTGATCATTTTAAAGTAATTTTTTTATTAACCATAAAACTTTATTATTTTGTAAATGTTCAATAGGAGGTACTCATTCATTTATTAAATTGTACATAATACGATAACTTTATAAGATTTACCGTGTTTAAATATTTGCCAACAAAATATAACGTCAGAAATTATGGTTGCTAAGAAATATCCAATTGAACTCGAAAAAGACAACATTGAAGATATGAAAAAATCTCACTTCAACTATTTTCTAATTTCTATAAAATGATCCAACTCGCTTTAATATTACCTATTAGTTTTGCTAAATATGCGAAATAAGTTTACTTTGCAGTAAAAAAAAGTTTGTGTCGCCACAGGACGTTATATTTTAACAGAATAAAATACGTATCAATAAGCGTTTTAAAATATAATCATTTTATGTGCTCTTAAGAATTATTCTAAGAATTATAATTCAATTAAATTATTTATGAAAGTTGAAGACCGTTCGTTGTGAATCGTTCTGTATACAACGAATTAACGAACAAACCTAATTTACGTTGCATTGGGTATACGAAATAATTAATATAATAATAATGCAGGACCAATGTGCGCTCAGCAAGTCAATAATTCATAATATTTTATATAATTATAATAATATTATATTATATTATGCGGCACGCGCTTCGTAACTAGTTTTCCATCGTCGTCTGTAGCGAGTTTTACGCGCGCTCGATTGCTATGATATTCGAATTGCGCAAACGGTGTGTGTGTGTGTAAATGAGTTGTTGTTTCCTCTGCGCTATTATATTATTATTATTATTATTACCATCTTCGTCTGTTATGCTGCCGACATCGCCGCCACGTCTCGACGATTTACGACGACGAACTATACATAGGGCACCATAATAATAATAATAATTATTATT